GTGGTTGACATGCTTGAGTAGTGAATCTTGTCAGATTGGGCAAAAATGATGGTATTTTGGCTACAGTGGCACAACAGCTTGAATAAAATGGATAGAAGTGCTTCACAGTATCATGAATAAATCAGACAAGTATATAAAAGATATGTATATATAGTACCATGAATTAGTATTCCAGACCTGTGTGCTGTTAATTAATTCATAACGTTTGTGCCTTTAATGAAATCTTGACCTTTGTGCCTTTAATGAAATCTTGACCTTTGTGCCTTTAATGAAATCTTGACCTCTTGACCTTTGTGCCTTTAATGAAATCTTGACCTTTGTGCCTTTAATGGAATCATGACCTTTGTGCCTTTAATGAAATCTTGACCTTTGTGCCTTTAATGGAATCTTGACATTTGTGCCTTTAATGAAATCTTGACCTTTGTACCTTCAATGGATCAGAGCTATATGCATAAAAATCACACATTCCACTTCTCCAAATTCTATGAACAATAAATTTAATGGTGATTACTTTGATGATTATTATCGTCTTTTTCGACTTATTTTACTGAATTATTTAAAAAAATAAAGGTTATTTTTTCAAACAAGGAGTGAATTCCTAAGCACTCTCAAATCCAATCCTAACTGGGTGCTGACATTATAACCCAAACAAATAGGATCTTACTTTTCACTGGTTATTGTAAACGTGAAATAGATCCGAGTGAATGTCTTGGGTGGACAGTTTGAGGGTATTGTGTTTGTTGTTGGCTGACCAGGGGTCATTAGATGTTATCGGTAGTGGACATGCAGCAGCCCTTCATCAATCACCTGTAATAGGACTTTAAATGTTACATTTCCATGACAAAAACTTTGTGTGTGCTCTTTCATAGTCATTGCAGATGTTAACAAGAGCTAATGAAATTTTCGGCATTGTTAATAAAAAATGGAATATTTTCACTGTCAATTATGGTTGAAGTATGAGACCATAAATCAAGTGTTAGCTTAGTACCCAAGGGTTATTGAAGAAAGCATTCTTGTGCATGTTTCAAATATCGTGACAGGAAATGTGGCGGTATGTTTGATGGCATGCAATGGTGTAAAGGAGAGCTCCAGTTAACACTAAAATAGACGGTGAATACCTGATCGTTTGACCCTAGGTTACCTGATGTCATCACTTGAACAAGCTTGAAACTTCTAAAACAGATTCAAAAGCATATAAAATATAGATTGCCTCTGATCACTACCCTAGAGTTCATACTTCTTGTAGCTAGGACAAAAATGGTACTTACTGACCCAGAATTTGTTTTGTAAACTATGTAAAACTGATTTTCCACTCATGAGCAAACATACAACGATTAAAGTCATAATAAGTATGGTGGTGTACAAATCTTTGTGCATCACAATAATAGGGGTTGGCCCAAGATCACTGACTGGGGTGAAAGGTCAGACTAATGATAGAGTGATCAGGAGGGACATACATGAGGGGGAAGCAGTTGGCTGACCCTATTCACTCCTATGGTGGGAATCTAATCGTTATTGTGGTTGTATGTCATGTCTTGTTAGCATAAATCTCCCTCCCACAATTAGGTCTTGAATTATCTCCCCTTTATAAGATGGTTCGGAAAGGTGAATGCCCAGAAACATTTGTATCATCTCTTATTAATGATAATGATATTCTGGAATATTGTTGTCCTCATAAATTTCATTAATATTCTGTGGAATAATGTTCTTTACATCAATCAAATTATCTCGAGGTTTTGGACAAATAACTAAGGATCATGTAAATTCTGATGTGTTGATATCATCACAATGAAAGAATCCCTCAAACAGGAATTACATGAATAGATACATATCTGTTATATTCTGACAAGAGAGTTTATAAGTGTTTTATAATGATAGATCACCGCCTTTGTACACTTTTTTTGTCCTGTAGGATGAGTAACATGGTCGTATTTTGATTGTTTACATGGCTAGTGATCATGGCTGTGAATGAAGCAGTCCCTCACCATCATGATACCACTGTGTTGTGGTGTCGGACGGTCGTCAAAACGGAATCTAGGATTGCTTGTACCTTCTGTGACATTTAATGAAAAGTGTATGTAGCTAATGCTACATGTCGGATGTAGACAATGTTGTAGATATTTTATGTAGTTCATCTTGAGAGGGACAAATTTATAAATTTCTTGAACCATCCTGAAGATGTGTTTATAAATTGTAATAAGAACTTCAAGTCAGATATAATGTGAAGGGTTCCTGGGCTTATTTCAGAATAAATATGGTAAATTTGACAAAGGGATGAAGAATAGAGATGTAAATAAGTTGGAGTCAGATGTAACGTGAAGGGTCCCTGGGCTTATTTCAGAATAAATATGGTAAATTTGACAAAGTGATGAAGAATAAAGATGTAAATTACTTGTAGTAATATACCACACATTTCGTTGTTTTTTGTATCGGATTTATTGAAATTGAAGAAAACCCAATTCAGCAAAAAAACAGAAGACTTAAGTGTATTAATTTGCGTGAATTTTATTTCTGCAACAGATTTTTTTTAATAATCTTCGTCATTATTGGTTCAGTCATATGCAGTTGTTAAGTGTATGAAGCAGTGCGATGATTTGTTATCTACAGATCAACACTGACGACGTCTAGGTGAACAATAATACATGTGTCATTACGGAAACACTATACAATGTACGTAAACCAAGATGAAACCCCTTCACTTAAGACCGATTTTATGTGATAATTTGGTGTGATTTTCCTCTAGAATCATCTGTTGATTATTGATAAGTTTTGAAACTTGTCGACGACCCCTAATGTGTCTGTGTAGTTTCTGATGCGAGTGTTATTGGGTACTCCACTATTATTGTCTGGGTCGCTGCACTGGTGCACACAACTTAGACTTACACAAGTCCCTCCTCAGCCTGTTACTATCTTGTAAACTTTCTGTACTGGAATTGGTTCCTTATAATGTACAGTATTAATATTCTGTCCTTCCTGTTAATAGGAGCGTAAACTCCTGACATTTGTCTCACTTCTAGAACAGTCTGCACATCATAGCTCCTATCTGTTCCCAGTGAACTTGGTGGGCAAAGCTGATAATATACTGCTTCCTGTCTGGTATATTCAGTTTTTTTTTTTCTTTTAAATAAAATTTAGATACATAGGTATGAATTTATAGATTCTGCATAACTGGGGTTCCTCTCACACATGTGAGTTATGTGGCTGACGAGTTTGTATCTCTGCTGCAATTTTAATCCTGAAAGCGCTGCAGGATTTGTAATACTTAGCGGAGATTGTTATTATGTCTAGGACTTTATTTCTCTCTTGGATGAGCTGATCTGTTGAAGAGGCCCACGCCCTTATCTCTCTACTATAAAATAGACACATTATCTGTCAATGTAGCACTTTCACACTGTAAATTTTAAGTGGCTTAATTTGAAAGTGAACTGTTTGAAGATTTATACATTCTCAAGCCTTGTGTACCAATTTATAATATCTGATTAGGCAAATATCATTACATTATTACACTGATATTAAAACTTCAAGTCAGACGTTTTAACTCTTTCTGTTTTGAGGGTGATATGCTGCAATGTTCATCCTGAAGTAAGAATTCTGCATCATTTCTTAAGATCGTATGTTGTGTGGTTACCTTACATTAAAACTGGAGATAGCTCTGTGTATTAAAAAGAACGGTGCTGAAATAACGGTACTGCTTTACTATTCCATCAAACAGCATAATAAGATTTGATGAGAATGTGTTTTGCATGCTTTCTTCCCCATTTCAATCATTACTGAAGCTACAAGTGTTGATATGCCAATGATACTGATAAATGCTACAAGTGGGGTTTACAACATGACTTTATGTGAAAACCCATTGGAGATTGCCAGGCTTATAGCAAGATATCTGTTGCTTCATGTAACAATTGATGTTCCTCTGTCTGGAGTGACAAGTCTTTGTTTAAGATGATCAGTTGGGATACCTGACAAAGTGATTGGTAATAGATACTGTGGTCTGCAGCACCTGTAGGGACTTAGATCTAGAAGTTCAGAATCAGAGTCTGGGTTCAGGGCACCTGTAGGGACTTAGATCTAGAAGTTCAGAATCAGAGTCTGGGTTCAGGGCACCTGTTGGGAGTTAGATCCAGGAGTTCAGAATTAAAGTTTGGGTTCAGGGCACCTGTTGGGAGTTAGATCCAGGAGTTCAGAATTAGAGTTTGGGTTCAGGGCACCTGTTGGGAGTTAGATCCAGGAGTTCAGAATTAGAGTTTGGGTTCAGGGCACCTGTTGGGAGTTAGATCCAGGAGTTCAGAATTAGAGTCTGGGTTCAGGGCACCTGTTGGGAGTTAGATCCAGGAGCTCAGAATTAGAGTCTGGGTTCAGGGCACCTGTTGGGAGTTAGATCCAGGAGTTCAGAATTAGAGTCTGGGTTCAGGGCACCTGTTGGGAGTTAGATCCAGGAGTTCAGAATAAGAGTCTGGGTTAAGGGCACCTGTTGGGAGTTAGATCCAGGAGCTCAGAGTCACGAGTCTGGATCCAGAGCATTGGTGGGGAGATAGCTTGAGTAGCTCAAAATCAGAGGCAGCATCCAAGACACCTGTGGGGAGTTAGATCAAGGAGCTCAGAATCAAAGTCTAGGTCTAGAGCTCATGTGTGGAGGTAGCACAGGGGGTTCAGAATCAGAGTTTGGGAGTTGGACCCTAGAGCTAAAAGAAACCAAATTTGGAATGAGTAACTCCCCCACACTAATTGATAATTGATAATGAGTCAGCTGTCTGCTGTTTATATGGTCTTGTAATGGCTAAGTATCCTATGTGTGAAATTAAACCATATTTATAGCAGTAAACACCCATGCCTTTCTCAGACAGGTAGAATATTTCTATAAAATATGTTGTTTAGGAAACTAAATTGTACAAAATGTGATGAGACAAAGTTTAATTGTAATAATTTCTTTGAAAATTTTCAGGCAATTAAAATTTAATGAACTGTTTTTGTAAATGTTGTTTTCATTTGTATCTTTTCAGAAAATTACAAGCATACGAGGAGGAAAGAGAGTGATGATTCTATATTAAAAAACAATACCGTTTTATCTAATAGTCGTAGTGTGTACAGCAATCATCCCTTTCATCATGTACATAGACGTTCTGCTTCACTAAAAAGACATGTAGAGGTCATGGTCGCCGCAGACTACGAGATGTATCGGTACCATGGCCGTGATTTAGAAAGATATATTTTAACATTAATGGCAATAGTAAGTATATTAATGTGAATTCTGTTATTGTTGTCTGCGTTATTGTAAATTTCGTTATTGTTATCTGTGTTATTGTAAATTCTGTTATTGTTGTCTGTGTTATTGTAAATTCCATTATTGTTATCTGTGTTATTGTAAATTCTGTTATTGTTATATTGTAAATTCTGTTATTGTTGTCTGTGTTATTGTAAATTCTGTTATTGTTGTTATCTGTGTTATTGTAAATTCTGTTATTGTTGTCTGTGTTATTGTAAATTCTGTTATTGTTATCTGTGTTATTGTAAATTCTGTTATTGTTATCTGTGTTATTGTAAATTCTGTTATTGTTATCTGTGTTATTGTAAATTCTGTTATTGTTATCTGTGTTATTGTAAATTCTGTTATTGTTATCTGTGTTATTGTAAATTCTGTTATTGTTATCTGTGTTATTGTAAATTCTGTTATTGTTGTCTGTGTTATTGTAAATTCTGTTATTGTTATCTGTGTTATTGTAAATTCTGTTATTGTTATCTGTGTTATTGTAAATTCTGTTATTGTTATCTGTGTTATTGTAAATTCTGTTATTGTTATCTGTGTTATTGTAAATTCTGTTATTGTTATCTGTGTTATTGTAATTTTTTTTATTGTTATCTGTGTTATTGTAAATTCTGTTATTGTTATCTGTGTTATTGTTATCTGTGTTATTGTAAATTCTGTTATTGTTATCTGTGTTATTGTAAATTCTGTTATTGTTATCTGTGTTATTGTAAATTCTGTTATTGTTATTGTTATCTGTGTTATTGTAAATTCTGTTATGTGTTATCTGTGTTATTTTTAATTGTAAATTCTGTTATTGTTGTTATCTGTGTTATTGTAAATTCTGTTATTGTTATCTGTGTTATTGTAAATTTGTTATTGTTATCTGTGTTATTGTAAATTCTGTTATTGTTTCTGTGTTATTGTAATTTTTTTTATTGTTATCTGTGTTATTGTAAATTCTGTTATTGTTATCTGTGTTATTGTAAATTGTTTCTGTGTTATTGTTATCTGTGTTATTGTAAATTCTGTTATTGTTATCTGTGTTATTGTAAATTCTGTTATTGTTGTCTGTGTTATTGTAAATTCTGTTATTGTTATCTGTGTTATTGTAAATTCTGTTATTGTTGTCTGTGTTATTGTAAATTCTGTTATTGTTATGTGTTATTGTAATTTTTTTTATTGTTATCTGTGTTATTGTAAATTCTGTTATTGTTATCTGTGTTATTGTAAATTCTGTTATTGTTATCTGTGTTATTGTAAATTCTGTTATTGTTATCTGTGTTATTGTAAATTCTGTTATTGTTATCTGTGTTATTGTAAATTCTGTTATTGTTATATTGTAAATTCTGGTATTGTTATCTGTGTTATTGTAAATTCTGTTATTGTTATTGTTATATTGTAAATTCTGTTATTGTTGTCTGTGTTATTGTAAATTCTGTTATTGTTATCTGTGTTATTGTAAATTCTGTTATTGTTATCTGTGTTATTGTAAATTCCGTTATTGTTATCTGTGTTATTGTAAATTCTGTTATTGTTTTCTGGTATCAACAACAACTATTATCAATCAATATATTTACATAGGAAACTGTTTGTTTCCAACATTTTGGAAGATTTCAAAATCATGTTTCTTAACAGCTAAAAGATAATGCTATTAGATGGTTTTGTTATAATTACATAAGATAAGATACAAACATGAACTGTAGGTGATATTATCAAGCCTTAATTATATCATCAATGTCATGCTTTGTTATTTCCTGTGTTTTTAAGATTGTCATAAACACTTTATCGTTTGTTTTGTAAATTTTTTTTTCTAATGCTCTCCCTGCTGCAAATTGTAATGTCATATTTTTTCCTTTTTTTGCAAATGTCATGTGTTCTATCCCGTTTTCCTAAATGTCCTATTTTATTTTGTATGTATGAAGTGTTTTACTTTAGTAACTTTTCAGAGGTAAATGTTATGATGGAATAATTTTTGTCATTCACATTTTTTTATTTCAAAAATGTTGTCCATTTCCTGTTAGTCTAAATCTGTTTCTCCTCAGCTTTCCTGTCAGAAGGCTTTGATTTTGTGGCATTGATGAAATTATCAATTTTCTCTTCACATCTAACCTGACTTATTATTAAATATTAGTGGCATCTGTCGACCTGACCCTGATTCAGCCTGTGTTTCCCTCTGATTAACTTCTATCGCCCTGATTAACTCCATCCCCGTGCGTAACATCAGCGTAACTCTCTAGTGTATGAATGAATTGGATAATAATGTCAGGTATTCCACATATTTCACTGGTTCTAACTGGATGTAGTTAGCTTCAATCAAAATCTAACAGAAAATGGCAGAAGAACAATTTACATTGTAAGTAGATGTTAGCGAGGGGGTAGGGGGCTGACAAATGTCACGATAATTTGAGGTGGTGATGGGCTATGTGTTCGCTCCCTGTGTTCCGAGCAACGAGAGGCCTTGTGTTATCATGTTTTGTTGAGCGTGGGTTATATTACACTAAATTAAGTAATAATACTTGCACTCATAATGCTACGACACTCTGTATTGCTTGTGTCAGCTATAATACAAAAAAACTGGTTTATCTTAATGGTAACTTATAATTTGGGTATATCTTGGTGTGGATGGGTTTTGTAGTAAAAACTCACATTTTCATATCTTATAGTGATGAGGTAATAGAGAAGTGAATGCAATGAAAACACAGGCTGATCTCATCCAGGGCATTCATCACATTTTTGTGTATAAAAGAAAAGTTTTATATTGTAGTGAACTAGATGATATCTGTATTTTTGGTATTTCTAAATTAAAAGAAATGTAGTGAAATACCTGTAACAAACAGTGCGGCTATTCTCATCCTTGTGAGGTAGAAATACAACCCAATGGTCCCGGTCTCCTACACCTAGACTGTTCATAAAAAAAACACATATAGATATATTTGAGAAAGAAATAAAAAACTTTGTTTATTTTACAACAATTTTGAGCCAATTAACTGCATAGCATGGAGGGAGTCAACGGAAATGTATACTTGATACTGATATTAAAAATTCAAATTTCAAACTATGTATTAAAAAAAAACTTAAAGATCTGTCATCACAGATGAGGTTAATCAATCACTCAGCTGATTTATTCATCAGAGTTGTCTAAAAATCACAATTATTTAAAATTTCATTAGGATTTTATTTCCACTATAAAATTTTGTGTATGATATATCTACATCGGAAATATTTACATTTCTTCCACTTTTTATACTTTTTCTGATTGGAATTTTTTATGGTGTTTTTCAGGTCAACAGTGTATATAAACATTCATCTATAGCAAACTTCATCAATATTGTAGTCGTGAAAATCGTTGTGTTTAAAAGTGTAGAGGTGAGTATCATCTTTGTACATTTTATATTGTTGTTTGGAATATACATTCAGTTGTGATATTATGAGATGTTTTGTTCCTATGTAAAGAGCTTTGTTACTATGTGGGATGTAATGTTACTATGTGGGATGTTTTGTTACTATGTAGGATGTTTTGTTACTATGTGGGATGTTTTGTTACTATGTAGGATGTTTTGTTACTATGTGGGATGTTTGTTACTTTGTAGGATGTTTTGTTACTGTGTGGGATGTTGTATTACAAAGTGGGATGTTTTGTTACTATGTGAGATGTTTTGTTACTATGTGGGATGTTTTGTTACTATGTGAGATGTTTTGTTACTTTGTGGGATGTTTTGTTACTATGTGGGATGTTTTGTTACTATGTGAGATGTTTTGTTACTATGTGGGATGTTTTGTTACTTTGTGGGATGTTATGTTACTATGTGGGATGTTTAGTTACTATGAGGGATGTTATGTTACTATGTGGGATGTTATGTTACTATGAGGGATGTTTTTTTACTATTGGATGTTTTGTTACTTTGTGGGATGTTTTGTTACTATGTGGGGTGTTTCGTTACTATATGGGATGTTTTGTTACTATGTAAAGAACTTTGTTACTATGAGGGATGTTTTGTTACTTTGTGGGATGTAATGTTACTTTGTGGGATGTTTAGTTACTATGAAGGATGTTATGTTACTATGTGGGATGTTATGTTACTATGAGGGATGTTTTGTTACTATTGGATGTTTTGTTATCTTGTGGGATGTTTAGTTACTATGAGGGATGTTATGTTACTATGTGGGATGTTATGTTACTATGAGGGATGTTATTTTACTATTGGATGTTTTGTTACTTTGTGGGATGTTTTGTTACTATGTTGGGTGTTTGTTACTATGAAGGGTGTTTTGTTACTTTGTGGGATGTTTTGTTACTATGTGGTATGTTTTGTTACTATGAAGGATGTTTTGTTACTATGAAGGATGTTTTGTTACTTTGTGGGATGTTTTGTTACTTTGTGGGATGTTTTGTTACTTTGTGGGATGTTGTATTACTATGTGGGATGTTTTGTTACTTTGTGGGATGTTTTGTTACTTTGTGGGATGTTTTGTTAATATGTGAGGTGTTTTGTTAATATGTGAGATGTTTTGTTACTTTGAGGGATGTTTTGTTACTTTATGGGATTTTATGTTACTATGTGGGATGTTTTGTTACTTTGTGGGATGTTTTGTTAATATGTGAGATGTTTTGTTACTTTGAGGGATGTTTTGTTACTTTATGGGATTTTATGTTACTATGTGGGATGTTTTGGTACTTTGTGGGATGTTATGTTACTATGTGGGATGTTTAGTCATTATAAGGGATGTTTTGTTACTTTGTGGGATGCTTTGTTATTTTGTAGGATATTTTGTTAATAGGTTCATATGTGAGATTTTGATGTTTAAGATGGTTTGTTGCAAAATAAATAGTGAGATCACTGGTAAGATGGTTTGTTGCTAGGTAAGATGGTTTGTTGCTAGGTAAATTGGTTTGTTGCTAGGTAAGATGGTTTGTTGCTAGGTAAGATGGTTTGTTGCTGAAAATATTTTTCATATTTTCTTTTATTAATTTTTCAATCCTTATTATTTTTGTGAAAAAATAATAGAAGAAGGCAGCAGTGACCTACATATATATGTCTTAGATATAGATGACCTATGTGAGATTTGCAATAGATTTGTGTCATGATAAAGGACATCATACATAAATGACTGCTGATATCATGGACTGGTGTACTGGTATGACTTATCTGCTGTGTAAGTTTTGTGCAGATTTACCATATATTGAATAAGTTTAATGTTATAGGTATTAGTAGCCTACTCATTTAAGAGAAAATTGACCACTCAACAATGACTTGAAATGGGATGACTCATCTATATTTAGATTCTGACCTATAAATAATAATGTGACCTATTTGTAGGTGACAATGACTTGTGTAAAACCTACTATGACCTGTGTGATAGTTGAATGATTAGGTGATACTAAGTGTACCATACGTCATATATGGTCATTATAATACAGTTCTGCTTTGTTTAACAGTGTGCTGAACGACCCTGTGGTCATACAAGGCCTAGCTATATTAATGTCACTTTTATACAAAAAATTGGTGGGAGGCTACGCTCTTGGATTTTATTTATGAAAATTACGTTTATGAATCATTGACAGAGCATTTTATGTCAGTTGTAAGATTTCATTTTAGATGAATTATACAATGGTTTGACTGTAGGTCACCGTCCTCCAAATTACAGCAACATGGACATAGGTCAGCATGGCAGTGGTTAGATAATGCTTATCATCTTCTGTGATGTATTAAAGGAATATAGGGACTTTACCTTAGTGTATTAAAGGAATATAGGGGCTCTACCTTAGTGTATTAAAGGAATATAGGGACTTTACCTTAGTGTATTAAAGGAATATAGGGGCTCTACCTTAGTGTATAAAAGGAATATAGGGGCTCTACCTTAGTGTATTAAAGGAATATAGGGGCTCTACCTTAGTGTATTAAAGGAATATAGGGGCTCTACCTTAGTGTATTAAAGGAATATAGGGGCTCTACCTTAGTGTATTAAAGGAATATAGGGGCTCTACCTTAGTGTATTAACAATATTAGTATTAACAGATAACAAAGTTGTTGTCTTGCAGTAAGTAGGAAGATGTAAAACTGTAAGTAGGGAGTTATCAACAGCCAAACGTAAAACAAGGCTCTGAGTAGGAGATGTCCAGTTTATCTACAGCTTCAGGTGTACTGGCCAGGGTGATTGGAGTATCATCTATGACAGGTGTCCTGCCCAGAATGACCACAGCTGACCACACTCATACCGCTATGGATCCCTCTTCCTGTCCACACAAATAGTCACTTGAACACAATATATTAGAGCTGTCTTCTTCTTCATTTAGTCATTTGGTGAACATAAATAACAGTACATGTATTAGGGGAGGAGAAATTTCATTGTCTCGTCAGTTTCCATTCATCTTGTTTAACACTACATATTGTAGTTATATCTAACTGACCTACATTTTATAGCTTACCTGCATCTCTTTACCTACATCTGAACTTACTTACATGTCATACCTACAGTTCATAAGAATTGCGGTGTCAAATATCTTGTAGTTCACAAGATTATGTTAAATTATCAATTTTTGTGAGGGGATTTATTTTTGTAGATTTTTTTTGTACTTTAAATGCACAAATTCAATGGACTCAAAGTGAAAATGTTGAAAATAGTAGATTTATTCAGCTTTATCAATCTATGAAATAAAGTAGCAATGAAATTAGAATCCCTGTAAGACCATGAAAATTAGACACCATGAAAATGTGTGATTTTACAGTATATCATTAATAATGAATTGAACTGAGGGGATTAAAACTCAACTCCAACAATTATTATTTCTTTCCCAAATTAATAATTCAGTGTAGTAATAAATGAGATAAAGTTGTTTTGGAGTCTGTGGCCTATTTGTTTTATTTCTGAACTGTGAACCTTTGACGTCGTAGCTTGTGCCTTTGGTCAGCATTTTTTAAATGTGGTCATATTAACAAGAAACCTTTATTCAGTGGTGGAGGCCACAGATATAAATGTCACCTTATTTGGATGTTGACAGGCTAAGCTGAGGGTCCCTAGGTACAGATAAAGCAACACTTTTATGATAAATATTTATATGTGTATCTGTCCTGGCTTATACAATAGTTATATGGAGGAGTTAGTGTATATGATTACTTCTACAAGTTAATGTTTCTGTATATATGTATAACAGTGTTTTCTCGTCTATTGTAAATTTCACAGAAATTGTGAGTAATTCAAAAACTATCATAGTGGAATTACGCTGTTGTGATAGTGGTAGACAAGGTTATAAAAAGTTATAAATACAAGGTCAGGGTTGCATCATAGGTCAGAACAAGGTCAAGGTTGTTTGAAAGTTCAATATAGGGTATCCTAATAGTTCAATATAAGGTCATGGTTATATTGTATTTTAATGTAAGTTCAAGGTGATATTATAAATCAATGTGAGGTTAAGGATTTAGTAAAGGTTGATATAAAGTAGTAGATTAAGTGATGGTAAAGGTGAAGGTCAAGTTTTATTGTAGGTCAATATAAAGTTTGAGATTGTATCTAAGGTCATGAAGAGATCAAGGTTAACTTATAGATCAATGAAAAATATTAAAATCGTTGTTTAACTTACCATAACAGTCAGGTTATACCAAATGGTCAATAGAAGACCAGGTTATACCAAATGGTCAATAGAAGACCAGGTTATACCAAATGGTCAATAGAAGACCAGGTTATACCAAATGGTCAATAGAAGACCGAGGTTATACCAAATGGTCAATAGAAGACCGAGGTTATACCAAATGGTCAATAGAAGACCGAGGTTATACCAAATGGTCAATAGAAGACCAGGTCATACCAAATGGTCAATAGAAGACCAGGTTATACCAAATGGTCAATAGAAGACCAGGTTATACCAAATGGTCAATAGAAGACCGAGGTTATACCAAATGGTCAATAGAAGACCAGGTCATACCAAATGGTCAATAGAAGACCAGGTTATACCAAATGGTCAATAGAAGACCAGGTTATACCAAATGGTCAATAGAAGACCAAGTTATACCAAATGGTCAATAGAAGACCCAGGTTATACCAAATGGTCAATAGAAGACCGAGGTTATACCAAATGGTCAATAGAAGACCAGGTTATACCAAATGGTCAATAGAAGACCAGGTCATACCAAATGGTCAATAGAAGACCGAGGTTATACCAAATGGTCAATAGAAGACCAGGTTATACCAAATGGTCAATAGAAGACCGAGGTTATACCAAATGGTCAATAGAAGACCAGGTCATACCAAATGGTCAATAGAAGACCAGGTCATACCAAATGGTCAATAGAAGACCGAGGTTGAAATCATAGATATGCTTGCATCGGTGTAGATGCATGCTGGCATACCTGAAGTACAATGGAATAATC